TGCCGGGCTACCCCGGGGCACGCGGGTGTGCTGCTGGGCACGTCCCGGGCCCAACTGGACCTAAGGAACACGACTAGGGTTCACTGGGCACGGCACTGGGTGCTAGGGCGAGCGGCTGGCACGGCCTAAGGCTTATATTGCGCAGCACGAGCAATTGGCTCGAAGCTACACGTGCACTGACGTTGGACAGCACGGCCGAGCATTGTCGGAGGTGCTTGGGCGCGACTGGCGCCAAGATCTCGCTCACTGGCACGGACAGGCGCTGCTGGGGCAATGTCGCGTGCGCTGAGGGCTGCGGTACCTAGCGTGCGCTAGACGCGGGCACGGACAGAGGCACTTCCTGGTCTCTGCGACGCGGCACGGGCACGGCACACGCGACTGGCGCGGCTGGTGACCCATGACCGGTCCTCGCCGAATTTCCGGCAACTTTTCCGGTGACAACTGACTCAAACGAACACGACATGATATAAAACATGTAAATATGCCAAGAAATGCTATGGCAACTCGGTTGGATTTGGAGATAGGCCTATAGGGCCGATAAGACACCCATGAGCCCTAGGTCACCGAAATGAACATTCTTAACATACAATTTCACTTATGGCCGAATGATTTACATCAAAAATCATTGCTATTGAGGCTAGGACATTGGCTAAATACTTGCATGCACATAGGCTTGGTTCGGGGGTGAAAATAGCTCAAATTCACTAACCAACTTGGCCGAACATATGAACTCAAAACATGCTATTCTTTTACCAATGTTATACACATGATTTTTGAGGATTTTTAAGCTATAAAAATCGACCATCTCATGCATGCATAAGAATTTCTGAAATTAGGGCTTAGAACTTAGAAAATTCGGAACTCAACATTTAGCACGTGCATGGCATCATTTCTCAACATGATAATTCCTAATTTATCATGTATAAGCTGGAAAAAATGATAGGTAGGAGCTTACCTTGCTCAAACTGGGAATGGTGCTAAGGATGGCCTTGCTCGGCTAGCTCGCGGCCAATGGGTGTTAGGCCTCGAATTGGTCGCTTAAGGCTGCGATTGAGGGCTTCCAAGGGCTTACAAAAATCAACCAAACACTCATGTAATGATAGACCACGAGTGGAATGGCTGAAGAAGTGTAAGGTTCGGTTCCTCCTTTGCTCGAACTCCACGCGCGCGCGAGAATGGCTAAGGGTTCTTGCTCTCGGTTTTTGGCTCTCAAAATGCTTAAGTGCTGAAGTTCTCAAGTGAACAAGAGCTGGAAATGAGCTGAGGAGAGTCCCTTTTAAAAGAGCTCATGGGCGGAGCTAACAAGGTGGAGAAGGTGGGGGACATAAGCCTTTCCCATGCGCATAGGATTTGGGGAGAATCTTGGACTTGTTGGCCTGACTTCACCACGTTTTAGGAACATCTTGCAGAGTATAATATGATGGGGAAGTGGTCTGGTCGAGCTCCCATGAAGTGGGGGACAAGTGCTTACACACATGTATTATTTTAATCACATGCCCACACTCCACTTTGCCTTAAAATATTGCTAAGGAATCTTGGACTTTCTTAATCCAACTTAGGGCATTATTAGGTTTAATTAATCCCTCTTACTCCAGATTACTCGCATGGACATGGGCCAAAGGATTGGGCTCGGAATTCCCATGCATTGGGCTAGGGAGCCACTCGTAATGGGCTTGCCGCTAGGGCCTTGCACGCGGCCTGCTGGGCGCGGCTCTTGTGCGCACGGGTTGAACATTATGCCAACTCTTGGGCCGAGTATGCTACACACTTAGGGCTGGATAGTGGCTGACTTGAGGCCCAAAATACTTAGAATAATTTCCAAGAATTTCATGTACTTGGCTCGGCACTTGAATGGTTCACGGACTAGGGCGCGGCTTTGGCTTGGGCTCGGTATTCCCTTGGGCCGAGGCTAACTCTTATCTAAGGCTGGATTTAAGTGTTCAAAACACTTAGAAAAAATTCTCAAAACACTCGGCCATGACTTGGGCACTCGCGGCTGGCACGAGGCACGCGACACTTGGGCGCGAGGACTTCGACCCGTGCACGAGCTCGGTGCGGGGTTACTTAGGCCGAAGGAATAATATCGAAGGCTCGATAAAAATGATCTCATACTTAGAAAATATTCTAAGTAAGATTTTGAGCACGGCTAGGGCTTGATACTCTACTAGGCGCGCGATACTCGTGACCGAACGACTCGGTTCCGGACACGGCTTGACTTGGACGATATTTCCAAACATACTCGGTTCCGATTATTCGTCAACTGAAATAATTAATTCTGACTGAATAAAATCCATTGTTAAAAAAATAAATGGACCGGAATTAATTACTGAGATTGAATAGTTGATAACTGGGCACGGAACTCAAGATGAGCAGTGTTAATAAAAAGAAATAGTTCAACTTGGAACTAAAAACTGATCACTTTTATTAATACAGAGCTGGGCTATAACATTTGCCACCAAACCTGATTTGCTGGTTACTAAGGTACTCAAGGACATATATTATCCTGATTGTTCCATCCTTGAAGCTGTTAAGTCTCAAAGAGGCTCTTGGCTTTGGAATTCTTGGCTTGATGTGATGTCTGTGTTTGCCAAGGGTTTAAGAATTGAAATCAGAAATGGAGCCCTTACAAGAATCAGTGACCTGAACTGGATTCCTAAATATCCTCAGGTAAAACCTCAGTTGATGGAGCTTGCTAGAGGACACCTAATCTGGGTAAAAGATCTTCTAAATGCTAATGGACAAGGCTGGAATGAGTGGTGGATAAGGCAAGTCTTCAATGACTTTGATAGTGAAGCCATTCTGAGCATAAATTCAATCAACAAAGACAGGAATGACAGGATGTACTGGGGTCTGGAAGCAAAAGGTCATTTCTTTGTGGCAAGCACATATTCTTACCTCTCAACTCTGAAAGTACAAAAACTTTACAGACCACAATCAAGCAACACAAATGCAAAGAGTAATTCTGTCCTTCATAGGGGATGGAGTTTGAAAGTTCAGGGCAAGATACAACATTTTCTTTGGAAATGTCTGTCTGGCACTCTACCAGTTGCTACACATCTTGTGAAGAAAGGCCTTGAGATTGATATCATCTGTTCTCTTTGTGGTGAAGGACCAGAATCAGTAGAACACATCTTCTTCACTTGTCCAAGAGCATGTTGAATGTGGGAAAAGGCTCTTGTGCATTGGGCAGGTCTCAACAGCTTTACCAATTCTTTTAGAGCTTGGTGGCAAGGAGTCTGCTCCCTTAATCACAATGAGGTCTCTGAAGCAAGGATACAGTTGTCCACCTACCTCCTTTGGTGGCTCTGGAAATCCAGAAGCCTCTGGATTTTGACAAAACTCTTCTCCCAGTGCATATTCTTATCAAATCAACTCAAAGGGATTGGTTGGAATATGTTCATGCCTCCTGATGTTTTCTGCAGGTCCTCTAGCTTGTTCTATGTTGTGGATTTAATTTTGTTTCTGTGGATGTTGGTTTGTGTAGTTCTGTTTTTTTAGTTATAGAATATTGAGTCTAGTTAGGCTTTGAAGCAGTGGGTAGACTCTATATTTCATTTTATAATTTCTTCTTGTTGTTTGAGGTTCTAGGCCACTTCTAGTGTGCCTCTCATGTTGTCTTTCTTTCTTGTTTGACTACGTCTTCTTTGTAATGAACATTGTTAACATTCGCGGTTATTAATAGTACCCCTGTCGTTCTAGAAAAAATAAAAAAATAAAAAAGCATTGGGCCTAGCTATGAGCAAAGCCCACTCTTACCAATTACTTAAATAATGTTTCGGTCCACTAACATAAACATTATTGATCGCCTTCATCATCCCCGAAATTATATTCGAGACTCCAATATGAATAACCTGAATTCCCTTCCTATGTTTAAGTTATAATGTCCATTAATTAATTCGATTGCTGATTATCAAGAATTAATTAATATCTTATAAACTGAAGCTAGCACCGTTCATTACAATATTATAATGCCAGAACTTAATCCACCTGCAGGGTTTAACATAATAACCCTTCATGAACTCACTTCGGGGACATCATCAAACTAACGCACACGGTGACTGTAAATATTTAACAACACATCGTAGATGCAGCACCATTACCCAAGACATCAAGTATATCGACCCAGCTAACTGAATCTCACTTTTAGTGAATCAAAGTAATAACTACTGCATGCACATGATTATTTATATCTTACGGGTTAAGAGAACGCAGTAATTAACCGAAGCCTAGTTCATTTACGACAATCAATATAAAACGAACTGCTACTCTCTGGAATTTTGTTCAATACATAAATGTACTAGTGCAACTAATCTAGGTTGTGAACCAATAATTCTCTTTTAGCAAGTGACTCATAAAATGATCTTTTATTCACCCGCTAATGAACCATTATATCTAAGTGCAAAACAATAAAACACCGAACTTGTTTAATCAAACTTGATTCCCATTCAACATAAATGAAGTGTAAATATCATCCAAAGGAAAGCTTTCAGTATATACACCAACAATCTCCCACTTATACTTAAAGCTTCTGCTTTTACAAGTGTATGCCTATCAATCCGTTATTCTAAAAGACATATGTCGATCCTGTGGCCATACATCTAACTCCCATTCCTTGCACGTGTTTGACGAAAACCTTCTTCGACAAACTCTTCGTGAAAGGATCAGGTAGGTTGTACTCTAATGCAATCTTGGAAACCTCGACGTCTCCTCTCCGCACAATATCTCGTATCATGTGGTATTTGCGCTCTATGTGTTTACTTGCCTTGTGGTCTCGTGGTTTCCTTGATTTTGCTACTGCATCATTGTTATCATAGTAGACTGTGATACTCGGTGGCAAACTCAGAATCACCTCTAAGTCCACCATGAAGTTCCTGAGCTAAACTGCCTCTTTCGCTGCCTCAGAGGCCGCGATATACTCGGCTTCCATGTTTCATGAAGTAGTGTGTCTTGCAGGCTAGCATATCTTCTTCAATTGTTAGAAGCCGAGACGCTTCTCATACCAGTGCCCATAGCGTGACCAGGGCAGAACCAGCAAGCTCCGAACTAGGGAGACAGAGCCCGAGTGTTCGCACTGACTCAGACCGAGGCCGACCAGAACCAAGGTACAATGTCCGGCATGTTACTTGTGCACAATGTATCTATTTATTCCTTGTGTGATACTGGAGCAACACATTCATTCATTTCGTCGATTTTTCTTGAGGCCATGGGGATCTAGAGCATTGGTACTATCACAACTCTCGAGGTTAGCTTAGCCTCGCGGAAAAACGGTAGTTACTAATTCTCTTGTGAAAGACTTTAACAATTGTATTAGAGGGAAGGACTTGAAGGCCAATGCTTACGTGATCGATATGAAGGACTTTGATGTAATTCTCGGGATGGATTGGCTAAGCAAGAATCGAGCTGATATCCAGTTCCATGATCGTTAGGTGACACTTTACTTGGAGGAGGACGAGAGAATTACCTTTTACAGCGCGAGGACGAGGACTGTGCCGAGAGTGATCTCCAAGATGAGGGCTGTGAAGAGCCTGCAGAAGGAGGGTTGCCAAGGATACTTGGTAAACATCATCCGGAGCGAGAAGAAGAAAACATCATCGGAGGACGTGCCAATCATTTGGGTGTACGTGGATGATTTCCCAGAGCAGCTACCAGAAGGGCCAACGAACAGACAAGTGGAGTTCACCATTGATTTAGTGCTGGGAGCAGGTCTAGTTTCCAAGGCACCATACGGAATGGGATCTAAGGAGTTGCAGGAGCTTAAGAATTAGATCCAGGAGCTACTGAACCTCGGTTTCATCTGACTTTGGGGTTAGCTAGATACTACAGATGGTTTATCGAGGACTTTTCAAAAGATAGCCCAACAGTTGACCGGTTTGACGAGAAAAGTAGTGAAGATTGATTGGAGTCCACAGTGCGATGCGAGTTTCTAAGATTTGAAGGCGAGACTGACTATCGCACCTGTGTTCACCATACATGACCCTGCTTTGGAGTTCACGATCTATAGTGATACTTCGAAGCAAGGTTTAGGATTTGTTTTAATGCAGCATGGAAAGGTTGTATCCAGTCCTTTGATTCAGTGAAAAATTCAATGTTTTTCCGATATTTTGAGATAGTTTATTCATAAGAATTATCTCGCTTAAGTCTAGGTTTTTGAAGAGTCGAGTCCTCGAACCTACCGTGAAGCACTTGCATTTTTATTTCCGAACTGAGGTGGGTGTCCCTAATTTTACTATGCTTTTATTCTTTATAATCGCACGATTCTATAATTAATATATATATGTGAACCATTGGCCTAATGAAAGGTGATGCCTAAGGATAGGATATCTGCATTGGCCTAATGAGTTTATCTCATTTCGATGGATGTATGCCGACGGTTTGGATCTTGTCGATGGATGTATACCGATGGTAAAGGTGTGTACACATGAGCGTATGGTAAGGATGGATATAGTTGTGATGATAATGATATGATTTATGTTCATGCTGCGATTATATTGTCTGTTATTATACTGAGTAATTGCATAGTAATTCCCATGGTGAGCTAGTTGTTGGCTCAACCCCATAAATTATCCTTTTTCAGGTTGAGTTGCTGGCGGCGGTGACGATGGGACGAATGTTGTAATATCCCATTCAGTAATTAATAAAAGTAATTATTCTAAGTATGAACTAATTATTTTTATTAATGCTCGTTCCTAGTTTCGAGCCAGTTATTAAGTTATTCAGTTAAAAATTCGACTTTAAGTCGAAAGTATTCTCGGTTCAATATTATTCAGTAATCGAGCCAGTTCAGTAATTAATTAATTCTGGTCTGTTTATTTTTATAAATGGATTTATAAGACGGGATTAATTAATATAAGATGACGAATAATCGAAATTGAGTATATTTTGATTAATCGTTTAAGATAAGTAGTGAACTGAAACCAAGTATG